AGTTAACAACCGCGAATGTCAAGAAGAAATAAGTCAATGATATGTACTGAGCGTGGGTTTTCACTGGACTAAGAACGGAGAACTATGGAAATGACCAGTCTGCCATAAGGTTCCAACCGTGACTGACATCCAACTAGTTCGTCTATCCTTTTTTGCTTTCCATACGTTTCTCTCCCTCTCTGTCCATCTGTCTCTCTCCCCTCGCACCCTCTCTGTGTCTATGTGTCTCTGTCTACCTGTTTGTCTTTCTCTGTGCCTGTCTCTATTAGTTTTTCTCTGTCGGTGTGGTTGTATCTTCCACCGGTCCCTAAAAACCTCGTATTTCACTTTTTTATTTTAACAACAATTAAATTTAAACACCAACTTCTGCACAACTGGCCCCCAAACCCAACCACAACACACAACGTACTCAGTCAGTCGAGTTTCTTGAGTCCGCCCTATAATAAATCATTATGTTAATAAGGATACATGAAAGTTAAAACATTATTCCATGCTGTCTAATGAAACTCGTGTCCTGTCCCCGCCAACGTCATTCTCCGGCGTGCGAGCGTCCTATTAAGTCCTTAACAGAAACTAACTGACATAATTTAAAGTTAAATCCCTTCTTACTCGGTCGGTTTTTAATATTTTAAATATGTATAAATTCAGATTCTCTTGTCGGTAACAATGTCGTGTCAAATTTATAGTTTTAATTAAGCAGGGGTTTCTGAACGGAAATGTTTGCTCGCTTCATTTCTGTGGTTACCATTCAAGGGAGCACAACTGGTAAGTCATTGAGTGTTTTAGGGCTGACAGGAGTTGTTGCTCTTGTTTCTGTCAAAAACAGCCACTCCCGTCGTACAAATCGAGGTTTCAAGGATTAACACATCTTTTCGAGACTAGGGGTCGACGTATATGGCGGGTATAAAATGAGTTAGATTATGTATAGAACTAACTCAGAATTTAGAGTGAACAATCTTAGCGTCGACTTGTAAGCCAGGTCGACTTCTACGCCGGAACATAGGACTGAAGCCCCTTGAGCGCCCCTCTCCAAGATTTAGAAAGAGGACCCAAAGAAGGGGGTGGGGGGGGGGAGGCGCTGACAACAATGTTAAATTGAAATTATGAAGCCCCATTTAATCATGCAAACAAATATTCCTTACAAGTATTTCTTTAAACATTTTTTGTTATTTCAAGTATATTATTGTCATTCCGCATAATAATAATAACCATTAAAATCATAATCATCATTATAATATGCCAACGAGCCAGTCCACTTATATACCAAGTGACACGGGTATTAAGACATCTAAACATAAATATGAGCGCCAAGAAACAGATTATAAACAGCATTACAATTAAAGTGGGAAGATGTGAACAAATACCATTGCACACGGTTATAAACCATAAGTGCTGTGCTTTCAGTACGGAAAGCTGATAAGAAACTGTCCGCCAGTGTCGCGGTCCGCTCACACCTCCGTAGCTACAGCGACGTTCCTCCATTTACCCCAGAGGGTTAACTCTGGTGCCCATTACCTAGAGGCTGGTCGAACCCCGGGAACTGCCCGGTTTCAAACATCGGTTCTGGGCTGCAGCGAGTCGCAGCTGGATTTGAAAGCGAGTCTTCTATCGACTGCGCTAACCAACGCTGTTCTACCAGTCGAGATCTGTACTTGATCAAAAGCTAACCTACGTATAATGAAATGATATACATAAGACAAGCCGCCAACGTAATCATCAGAGACAGAGATATAAATTATCTTATCAGACAGACTGTAGAGACAACAAGATGCGGCAAACTCATTAAAAAACAGATGATCGAATGGTTTGGCCATTTAGTAAGAATGCAGTAACTACCAGCGTAGGCGCTAGACATGAAAAGATGTGGCGGGAAAGCAAAAGGCGGCTCTAGCAGAAGATGGACTAATGACATTAAAGAGCTTCTTCATCGACACGGAGTGACAATGCTGCCCATAAGTAGTGGATCGCACACTGCTCCTCCCTACAACGCTTAACGACAGAAGTGGAAACTGAAAAATAATAATAACAATTACAATATAACAACAAAAACAACAATTCTGTGTTGAATAACAAAAAAAACAATATTCCTGAATTATTATAAAATGTAAAAACAAACATAGAGGTACCTCGGTATGCGTTTACTTTGGAATACGTCCAATTTGGTATGAGTAATGCATAGACGCGAAAAATTTTTTCTTGGTAAACACCTTTTAATGTATACACTAGTACTGTGAAAGCACCATATATCTCATACGTCTATTCTTCTTCTTCTTCTTCTGCCCTCCAGTGGAGCACAGGCCCTCAGCCAACCTACCCAAAGTCGTCCTATCCTTTGCTATTGCATATCTCCACATGTCCTCATTTTTGTTTAAAGTTCACTCTCCAGCTATCTTCTCTTTCGGTCTGCCTTCTGTATATGCCCCCTGTGGGTTCCTGGGTTACGACATTCTAGTTAAATTGTTCTCAGTATTTCTTTCAACGTGTCCTATTCACTGCCAGTGTTTTCCCCTCACCTCTTGGTCCACTGAAACTTGCTTAGTTCTCGGCCAAATCTCAACATGAGTGATTCTGTGGGGACCATTGAATTGCCTCCACACGTCTCAAGACATGAAACAAAGCGGTCACTGTGGTTTAGTACAGTCGGTGAAGAAGATGCATCAAAGAAATAAAGAACATGTTCAATTTGCATTTTATAAAATGAAGTGCATGTAATGAAGAGAGGGTGGCCGAATGGTTAGAACGCTCGACTCTCATGCAGGAGACCCGGGTTCGATTCTTCGGTAAGGCTGAGTGTTTTTCTGTCAGGGGCAAAATAAAATCCTCACCTGCACAGTCGTGGCGACAGCACTAGCCATGCGGTCGCAAATCCTCGGGGTTTAAGATCCCCCTGCCTACACCGCAATAGTGGTATAGTAAAGACAGTAGTTAGCATTTTTTTGTAGTTTTTCCATGTCACCGGAAGTACGAAAAAGAATTCTCACGTGACTTAAAGCCAGTTATAAAATATGGCTTCCCCGTCTGACTTCCAGGTTCCCATAGTGGGGGGGGGGGGGGGGGGGGGGGGGGGGGCGGGGGTGGGGGTGGTGGAAGAACACAAAATAGATCCACAGCCTCCCCAACAAGCATGTCGTAAGTGTCCACTAATTGTAGGTATCCTTCAGGTTTGGAGTGCATCTGCCTGAGAGGTAAGGAACTAACAGTCTGCACACAAATAAGCACGATTTGTAAACTAGATGTGCACGCAGAACTCAGGTTCTTGAACAAGACTAAAGCTCAGAAGTGGACGAACAATCATAACTTTCCGGTGGAGTTTAAAGCTGGTTAAGAAGGAGGAGGGGGCAAATAATAATAATAATGATAATAATAATAATAATAATAAGTAGAAGAAGAAGAAGAAGATGAATAATAATAATAAGATGAATAATAATAATAATAATAATAATAATAATAATAATAATAATAATAATAATAATAATAATAAGAATTATAATATTAATAAGAAGAAGATGAATAATAATAATAATAAGATGAATAATAATAATAATAATAATAATAATAATAATAATAATAATAAGAAGAAGAAGAAGAAGAAGAAGAAGAAGAAGAAGAAGAAGAAGAAGAAGAAGAAGAAGAAGAAGAAGAAGAAGAAGAAGAAGAAGAAGAAGAAGAAGAAGAAGAAGAAGAATAAGAAGAAGAAGAAGAAGAAGAAGAAGAAGAAGAAGAATAAGATACGGCTGAGAATCCTGTACAATTAATAAACAAATCAAACAATTTATTGAGGTCTTGGAAATATGGTTTTACACAAGAATCCTTAGAACTGCTCAGACAACCAAACAGAACTTTGGAAGAGGTCAGTGATCGAAGGCAACGTACCACAAACATCAGAAAGAGACAGTGATTGTTTTTTAGTCATGAGAACAATGAAACTGGAGCATGTTGTGACAGCTGGAGAGAGATATGGAAAGAAAAGAGACAAAGGAAGGCAACGCGAAACGATTCTTGGCAGACTTTTGCCTTTGTATGGAGAGGTGTGAGCACACCAACTGATTCAAGTTGTTAAAGATGGCAGACTGTGGAGTTGCAGGATCGCACACGCCACTCGATAAGGCACATGAAGGTGATGATTATAATGGATAACTGTTGTTAAATCTGATTTCAAAACATTTTCCCCGTAGATTTTTTTTTTTTTTTTTTGGCAGTCTTCAAAATAAATAAAAACATGTCTTTGTTTCAGATTTCGGATAGTTTGCCGGTCTTATTTTGCATACCTCTGGTGTGGTAGTTTATTAGCCCGTGTTTCTGTGCATACATTTTTGTCGAAACTATGAGATATTGATAGGTCAGATTGAGTCTAAACTATCAGATATTGGCAGGACAGATTGAGTCTAAACTATCAGATATTGGCAGGACAGATTGAGTCTAAACTATCAGATATTGGCAGGTCAGATTGAGTCTAAACTATCAGATATTTACATGACAGAGTGATTTTAAACTGTCAGGAACTGTCCGGACAGATTAGCCTGAACTATCAGATTTTGACAGTTCAGTGAGTCTAGTCGGGACAGATTAGCCTAATCTATCAGATTTTGACAGTTCAGATTGAGTCTAAACTACCAGGAACTGGCGGGACAGATTAGCCTAAACTATCAGATATTGACAGATATTGTTAGCATCATATGCCTAGCGCGGACTCAGCAAACTAAACTAGTGTTTTCAATGTATTCCTATTAAACTATTTCGCTAAACTACGGTAAACTAACGCAAGAAGTTAAACATTTAATGTTAAACTTTTTCTGGATGTAAAATTAAACTGCATAAATCAAGTACTGGAAAAATAATTTGATCTGGACAAAAGTTAGAGCTGAGACAGTTGACTAAACCTGAAATAGTGGTATCAACAAAGAGGATGACGATTCAAACTGACTGGAGTAAACAGCAAAAATTGACAGTCACCAAAGAGAGAGCCTAATCGAAGACAAATCTGTGCTAACCGTTGACATATGGCAGCCCTCCGGCAGCTGATCTCACTGATCCTGCTCTCTGTCAACTTCCTGGACTTGTCACGTGCTGGCACGCGCATGTTGGAGCCTCCTTCTCGTGCGTCGCTATGGAGATACGGGTACAACACGCCAAGAAATAACTGGGACGATATGACGGATTGTGGCGGGTACGAGGTAAGTAGGGGGACGTCTGATCGATGTTTGTTTTTACATAAGATATTTGATTGTATCTGAAAGGTTAAAGTGGTCTGTCTAACCAATCCACGTAAGATCGCCAGTTATATTTATTGTATAGGGTTAAATTTGCCCGGTTAAATTTACATTCGCTTGCTGTGGTCTCAAACTTTTAATTAGAGTTACAAGACACGAAAAACGGTCAGTCAATCAGCCACTAAGTCAGCCAGTAAGTCAGCCAGTAAGTCAGTGACGAAACCAAGATACTAACAACTCTAAAATGCTACAGTATCCTCTCACAAATCAGAAATTGAGTTGGTTGGGGTTCAGTAAGTTCTGACAAAGACGATCCTCAATGCCATGATGTCTATCTGTCCAGCATCTTCTCTTTCGGTCTCCCTCGACCTCTCTTTACCTCCATCCTTCCCACCTTCACGATGTACTCTAGTTTTTCTGCCTCTCATGACAGGAAAAAAAGGGTTAAGATTGTCTCCTTCTGTTGTGGGCAATCAGTTCTCCTGATTAATTAGTTTCAACACAACATAGTTTGACCGGAACGTCTGACCACGTCACCCATGGTATCGCTGTCCAACTGGTCTCTAAACCCTGGAGACCACAAACTCGTGCCGCTTCATGGCGCGGAGGCAGCTCATCTGTCTTCCTGAGATCCCCAATTATATTTATCGATAAGATTGAACTGGGTATCTGGAATGTTCCCTGTTGGATTGCCATCCACTCGTTAAAGTCTCAACCTTTTATGTAGAGTTTAGTCAGCTATTCAGTCAGTCAGGCAACAAGTCAGTCAGTTAGTCAGTTAATTAGTCAGTAAGTCAATCAGTCAGTCAGCTAGTCAATCAGTCTGTCATTCAGTCAATTAATCAGTCAGTCATTTAGTCAGTGTTGCAACCAGCACACTAATAGCTCGTAAAGAAGCTACAGTATCCTCTGATTATACAGAAAGAGAGAGAGAGAGAGAGAGAGAGAGAGAGAGAGAGAGAGAGAGAGAGAGAGAGAGAGAGAGAGACAGACAGACAGAGAGAGAGAGAGAGAGAAAACGAACAAGTGAACGAACGAACGAACGTACTTTATTTTCAGAGAGAGAGAGAGAGAGAGAGAGAGAGAGAGAGAGAGAGAGAGAGCGAGAGAGAGAGAGAGAGAGAGAAAACGAACAAACGAAGGAACGAACTTTATTTTCAAAGAGAGAGAGAGAGAGAGAGAGAGAGAGAGAGAGAGAGAGAGAGAGAGAGAGAGAGAGAGAGAGAGAGAGAGAGAGAGAGAAGAGGAATAGAAGAGAAGAAAGAGATACAATCTGCCCATTTAGAATGAACTCCTTAGTCTCTGCGAGGTCTATCCAACTAATATATTATGCTGCTTCACATGCTCTGGCTGCCAGGTTGTCTGACGCCAAATCTGGCCAGGGCAGCGGCTTGCAAGGGCCTACTTAATTAGTAAGGGATTTAACTCTGGTCAACCTGAACATTTTTTCGTACTTATCTGAGAAAGCTAGGGGTCCGATCTCCTACCACAGCAAGTAGGGTGAGGAAAATATATCAGGCGTTTCTTATTATGTCAAAATACGTAACCTTTTAACGGAAAATCGAAGCAAGTCTGCCCAGGCTAGAGATGGACTAATCATATGAGCAGCGGTGTAGTGGTTAGCGTCAACCCTGTCTGCCGGAGGGTCATGGGTTCAAATCTACATGGAGTCAGATTTCTCCAATTCAAAAAAAGGTAGCTCCAAGGGTCGAACTAACCTACAATTTTAGTACTTTAATGTTAGGTCACCCCAAACAAAGGAGATTCAGGAGTTCTTGGGATATGTCAATATTCAAGAGGTGTTATAGGTTGGAGTTGGGGGTTAGAATTAGAGTTAGGGTTAGTTGATGTCTCTGAGGCGGTCGGGACTGACAAGGATCCTGCCCTGACGCCAGCCCACTGCATCCCTTACATATTGGACTTTCCCGGAAACCCCAGATTTGCTTCATATGAGGTGACTTAAAATTGAAGTGCTAAAATCTGTTAGCAGGTAAAGTCCTGGGAAGTAAAGGGGGTAGGCGACACGTTGACCACATCCCCCACCAAGAGCCGATTGGTCTATAGAATATAAGTCTAGAACTTGACACCCAATATACCTGAAGGCGTCGAAATGATCTTTGATTTGTAGGAGTGCCGATGTTTACACCACCGACCAGGTGGGCGTCAACCTGTTTACTTGACCTGCCAGGTGAGCATGCTGTGTTTACCCGACGTGACAAACGGACGTGACTTCAGTGTGTCACGTGAAGATTACAACCTGTCACGCTTCTGCATCTTTAGACTTCAATGTCTGAGGAAATAGGTGCACTCTGCCACTTCAGGCCATGGTTATAACCGTGCATGTGTGGTTAGATTGTGCAGGCACTGTTGTATACCATGACTGGCGTGATTGTGCAGCACTGTTGTATACCATGACTGGTTTGATTGTGCAGGCACAGTTGTATACCATGACTGGTTTGATTGTGCAGGCACTGTTGTATACCATGACTGGTTTGATTGTGCAGCACTGTTGTATACCATGACTGGTTTGATTGTGCAGGCACTGTTGTATACCATGACTGGTTTGTTGTGCAGCACTGTTGTATACCATGACTGGTTTGATTGTGCAGGCACTGTTGTATACCATGACTGGCTTGATTGTGCAGGCACTGTTGTATACCATGACTGGTTTGATTGTGCAGCACTGTTGTATACCATGACTGTTTTGATTGTGCAGGCACTGTTGTATACTATGACTGGTTTGATTGTGCAGGCACTGTTGTATACCATGACTGGTTTGATTGTGCAGGCACTGTTGTATACCATGACTGGTTTGATTGTGCAGCACTGTTGTATACCATGACTGGTTTGATTGTGCAGGCACTGTTGTATACCATGACTGGTTTGATTGTGCAGGCACTGTTGTATACCATGACTGGTTTGATTGTGCAGGCACTGTTGTATACCATGACTGGTTTGATTGTGCAGGCACTGTTGTATACTATGACTGGTTTGATTGTGCAGGCACTGTTGTATACCATGACTGGTTTGATTGTGCAGGCACTGTTGTATACCATGACTGGCTTGATTGTGCAGGCACTGTTGTATACCATGACTGGTTTGATTGTGCAGGCACTGTTGTATACCATGACTGGTTTGATTGTGCAGGCACTGTTGTATACCAGGACTGGTTTGATTGTGCAGGTACTGTTGTGTACCGTGACTGGTTTGATTGTGCAGGCACTGTTGTATACCATGTCTAGTTTGACTGTGCAGGCACTCTTGTATATTAAAGAAAACAAGATACTCTGGGCTTCATCTTATGGCACTGCTTTCCTTTGCACAGTTGGCACCCATCTTGTCAGTCGCTACCACTTTCTCGAGTCAAGTCCTTCAGAACCGACGGGTTTACACACTTGCCCAATGACGGTCTGGAGTTACTAAGTGCACTGACTCTCTCAACCCAGCGGGCGAGGCTGCTCCTATACAGTACCCATTTACGTCGTGAATGTGAAGATTTGTAAGTTGTGAAAACATGACTACGCATGGCATCTTGACGAAGACAGTTTGTCATCAATTGGTGGACTTTAAGAATTTGACGTCATTGTTACACAGCGTTTATTCTGTGACCTCCCCACTGATTCTGTAGAAAATAGTACACTTTACGTGACGTCTATTCGAGAAGGCGGCACCTCATCTGACATACTAAATCATGAAAGAATGACAAGAAGCCCACCAAGGGATGATGCTGGAATGTTGACTGACAGTGATATGTCTCGGGTGATGGACGTCAACTGGGTGAACAGCGAAGAGACGTCGGGTGAACAGCGAAGAGACGCGTTAACGAGAGTAGCTTCCCCTGCAGGATGTGGCGCCATGACACTTGTCGTGGGGTCTCTGAAGACAAGTGTGACAGAACAGGATGCTATAAGGCACCAGAGTTTACGGGCTTGTATGATAAGCCCAGTTCGCCATGTTTAACATAAAGGAGGTAGAAAGAACTGACATTTTAAAGCGGAAACTATCGCTGGTATGTTGTATAGTTTACAGTGTCAGGGTCAGGAGGTGAAAGGCCACTAGTGCAAAAGGTGAAAGGTAATACGTGGAAGATATGAAATTGCTGTGAAAAATTTATTTAAAAAATAAAAGTCGAATAGAAGTGTCGAATGGTATTCCCGTCCTATGGGCTCAGGGCCCAAGTGGGATTGGGGAAAAAAAAAGGGGGGGGGGGTGTTTTAAAAAAAATGAGGGGAGGGGGATAAACTCACTACCCATAACAAAATGTTAGAAAGAGCGACTAATAAGATTACTGCAGATATCGCAGCCCAACTGTAAATCACAATACAGCGTGCACACCACCCTCTTTTAGGGGCTAAGGCAGATCAACAACAACACAAAGTAGGTGTAGCATCTCCTTCTTCCCACCATTCCCAGAACTTCTCAATCAATCAATCAATCAATCAATCAATCAATCAATCAATCAATCAATCAATCAATCAATCAATCAATCAATCAATCAACCAGCATGTTCTTTACAGAACGTCGCTCTCCTCACGACGTCAGCAAGTTTCTTTCTCGAGCAAGTTCTCCAACCCTGTGTGCTTTCATAGCCAATGGGTCTTCGGGGTCCTGTACCCACTTCGTGGGGGTCGGGCTTTGCCTCGTTTTCCGAACCCCCCCCCCTCTCCCCTTTCCATCACATGACCTCTACCGACCGCCATAGCGCTTCTGTTCAGAATTTATGACATCACAATAATGAAACAAGTACAAATGTTTACCCTAAGCAGTTATGTGGAGTCGCAGAGATGAGGCTCATAGAAGAATGGAAGAGAGCACCATTGTCAGATAAAAGTAACAAATGGTTCGCAGTCCCAACGTTAAAGGTTGACTACAGTGTCAACGATAAAGGTTGACTACAGTGTCAACGATAAAGGTTGATTACAGTGTCAACGATAAAGGTTGACTACAATGTCAACGATAAAGGTTGACTTCAGTGTCAACGATAAAGGTTGACTACAGTGTCAACGATAAAGGTTGACTACAGTGTCAACGATAAAGGTTGACTACAGTGTCAACAATAAAGGTTGACTACAGTGTCAACGATAAAGGTTGATTACAGTGTCAACGATGAAGGTTGATTACAGTGTCAACGATAAAGGTTGACTACAGTGTCAACGATGAAGGTTGATTACAGTGTCAACGATGAAGGTTAATTACAGTGTCAACGATAAAGGTTGACTACAGTGTCAAAAATGAAGGTTGATTACAGTGTCAACGATAAAGGTTGATTACAGTGTCAACTATGAAGGTTGATTACAGTGTCAACGATAAAGGTTGACTTCAGTGTCAACGATAAAGGTCGACTACAGTGTCAACGATAAAGGTTGACTACAGTGTCAACGATAAAGGTTGATTACAGTGTCAACGATGAAGGTTGATTACAGTGTCAACGATAAATGTTGACTTCAGTGTCAACGACTGTTGTGTGTGCTTATGTGTGTGTGTGTGTATGTGTGTGTGGGAAAGGGTTATATTACGCAACGAGGTCCCATTCTCTTTAACAGTCCCAATTGTCTTGAGACTTATATCACCGTTGGAAAACTAAGAGAATTTATATATATATATAAACAGATAAAAAAACATCGTGTAGATGACGTCATAGAAAAACATCACCAAAGGCCTCTCCTAACGCCAGGGCCACGTCAAGAGAGATGGTTTAAGGACAAAGTGAGGCACTGCTAGGTTTAGGCCGAATCTGGTGTGGCCTTGTGCCACGGCACCGCTACGGTAACAATGAAGGTAATTTTGGGTCACCCTGAAACGTCAAAGGAAGTTCTGGTGATGTTGCGACAGGCCTAGCAAGCAGGAAATGGATTTATTATCGCTACTGAAAATACAGTGAGATATAAAAAGTTAAACATTAGATCTACCTCGAAATTCCAAGCAGTAAAAGGGGAAGTGAGGAAGAACTTACCCACGGGTGTGATTAATAACTACATTTTCTCAGCATGTCATGCCAGCAACAGAAGTGGTGCGCCATGCGATAACAGGAAAAGTTAAAGGGCAACAGAGGTAGATGGAGACAAACAGAAAAGAGTTAAAACAGATTATAATGATAAGATTTAAAACGAAACGAAAAGTAGAATAATTAAGCTTCAAATATCACCACCACAAGCGACAAGTGAACGTTTCGGCTATAGAGCCTTTATTAGCACATACAGGAGCAAACAATACCAGAAAAAGGAACAAGGATTGGGAAAAGAAATGACTAAAATGAAATATCTGCGAGAGTAATCATATATCAGCCTGGTCAGTTGATTCTCTTTCACGTGTGCGACCACCGGAAAAAATACAGTGGAGTCCACTTAAGTCGAACTCGGATAAGTAGAATTTCGATTAAGTCAACATGACCAGCTTAGTTCCGGGAATTTTTCTCTATTTTGTGTACTGTCTGGATAAGTAGAAATTATGATAAGTGGAAGCAATATCTTAGGTCCCTGCAACTTCTACTTATCCAGACCCGGCTGTACTAGCCACACAAAAAGCGGGCGGGGACTGTGTGAGACTAAACTTCAGTAACTAGACAGATCAGCGTTATGCAGGACAGAACGTGTGTATCAGAAATTACTGATACCTCATGAGACAGAAGGTTGAGGTTCAGTCACGATTGTTAACGCCGCAGAAAATGGACTGTTTATAAGGACGCCATGACATTTGTAATGCAAGGGAAAAATACAAATTCATGTTTAAAAAAAAAAACCAAACCGTTGTTTATAATAAGGGACACAACTCAGATTGTCTTGAGGTTGTTGTTGTTGGTTCTAGTTATTGCCCGTTCAATCAATGGTGGTCTCAGTTTGCTTGTGACTACCGACGCGGACGGTTTCAATCAGTGTTCTTGGGGTGCTTTCTTAATATCCTACCACAATCAGTGGAAAATCCACAGGTCACGGGACAGTCTAATATTTCTGGGGGTGGTAGATAGGCTGCATGCAGTGGTTGGGTCTTGGCTGCATGCAGACGTGATACCCTGGCTGCACTCTATCGTGGGACGTAGGTGGGTTTGGGTTACGGCCAGTTGTAGATGTTTTGGGGTCGTTAAAAGCATCAGAAAGCCGGGAAACAAACCCTCTACCATGCAAGACTATTCATGTAACGTCATAGAGGGTAAGATATTACGAACGAACAGTTCTTGGATATGTTTACATCCGCGAACTGGAAAGACAGGGAACATTATTTCGAGGCACATTCGACAGCTGACTCAACTTAAATTAAATTAAATTTTAAAAAAGTTTGTCTCGAACATGATAGATATAAAGTAAATAAAACAAATAATTCAAACATAGAGAACATCTTGACAACAGGCATATGGGAGTAACTCAGCGCCCTTAGACACTTACTACGGGAGACGGAAGCCTCTTTAGACACGTTTTAAGTTACTCCTGTCCGATGTTTTCAGAGACATCACATCAAGAACGGAGGAAACTGTGGGGTCTGCGGGGATGCCAGCGACGAACCCACACCCCGTAGACATGAAGCAGGAGGCGAGTTGTCTCCCAACCCTACACCAGTGAAAGCTTTTGAGACAGGAAGTTACCTCACGGTTGTCATGGAGACGTCATCAAGCTTGTTTGGACATTTCGAGGTAACGTTTTACTTGAACCTGTTCTCAGTTGTTTCATTGTAGATTACTGTCTCTTCTGGGGGAAAAGGGGGGGGGGGGGTGCCACGGAGTTCAAGTGTGTAAACGGAAGAGAGGATAGTAAGTTTGACAAGTATAACATGATAGAGCAAGGAAGTGATAATTACAGAAAAAGAAAGAGGTGGAGGGGGGAGCATGCAAGAGTGAGTAACAATGAAAGACAGTAGAGAGAGAGAGAGAGAGAGGGAGAGAGAAAGAGAGAGAGAGAGAGAGAGAGAGAGAGTGAATGAAAGAGCGATAGACTAAGAAATGAGAGCGGCATTGATGTGAGAGGGCAAAGAAAGAATGAATGAGAGACAGAGAGCCGTAGGGAGAGAGAAAAACATGACGGGGGGAAAGTGATAGAGTAGATAAATAGAAGGGAGAAACAGAGAACGCAAGAGATAGAAATATAAATATAAGATCCGGCAACTTCTGCTGCAGGCTTTGTTCTAAACGTATTAGTGTTACCTTTCCTTTGGGGTAAACAAGGCAGGCCGAGGAGGGATCCGGCTAAACTTCATCTCTGGTCTCAGCCATCGTCACAGGCCGCGAGATCTATGCCTCTTTACAGCAGAATAAAATATTGTCGTCTTGAAAGACGGGAAGGTACCAACAGATACAATGGCTATTGGTTTTCTTTGTTTTGTTTAATTCTAAATGTTTAGCTTTATCTAGTTCCACATGTGTAATTGTCCCTAATTCTACCTGTATAACTGTCCTTAGTTCCGCCTGTGTAACTGTCCCTAGTTCCGCCTGTGTAACTGTCCCTAGTTCCGTCTGTGTAACTGTCACTAGTTCTGACTGGGTAATTGTCCCTAGTTCGGCCTGTGTAATTGTCCCTAGTTCAGCCTGAGTAAATGTCCCTAGTTCTGCCAGTGTAATTGTCCCTAGTTTCGCCTGTGTAACTGTCCCTAGTTCCGACTGTGTAATTGTCCCTACTTCAACCTGAGTAACTGTCCCTAGTTCCACCTGTGTAATTGTCCCTAGTTCTGCCTGAGTAATTGTCCCTAGTTCTACCTGTGTAATTGTCCCTAGTTCTACCTGTGTAATTGTCCCTAGTTCTGCTTGTGTAATTGTCCCTAGTTCTACCTGTGTGATTGTGCCTAGTTCCGCCTGTGTAATTGTCCCTAGTTACGCATATATAACTGTCCCTAGTATTTTGTATGTTTCTTAGCTCCGTCAGTAGAACTTTCCCTAGTTGCGATCATGTAAGTTTTTCTAATTTCAACTGTATAACTGTCCCTAGTTCCGACTGTGTAACATCTCCCACAACATGGAGACCCCGAGTCAGAACTGCTTCGACCAGACCCAGCTGACTATCCTAGAGTCAGAACTCGGCACAGAGTACCAGATTGGCTCCAGACAAGGGATTCATGTGCTGAACCTTCGGCTGCCAACTGGCGTAGTCTGTAGCCATTGTATCGTACAGTGGACTCACAAAACAGGCGAGTTTATCAACCGTTATTGCCACCTTGAAGTTCTAAAAAAGTTTTTATCATTATTATCATCGTTGTCTCAAACTTTACCCTCCTCCTCATCATCATCACCATGTTCCATGTTAAGTAGAGAAGGCAGTGATCTCTCGACATATCATAATCACCAGAATAACGGATCAGGTCGGTGTTCTTGTCTAACCCCAGTCATGACCAAACCATCTAGGTATTGATGTTTCTGCCTTCCCATTGCTCTGTTTTCGCCGATTTTGCGAGTTGTAACCAAGTTCTCGAGTAATAAGTTTGCATAATGATTAAAAACCTTTGTAACAACGAAAGTAATAATACATTTGAAATGCACTATTTAGATGTTATTCTGGCAGCAACATGATGATGATAACTAATGATGATGATAAAAAAAATAATAATGACAATCTGCTTCTTCTTTTGTCCGATTGCTTCTGTCAAAAATTGTCACAGAGAGGAGTTGAATGTAGTTTTCTGCCTCTTTTACTCCCTCCATCCATTTCTTTCTAGGTGGGCCTCTTGCCTTGTAGCTTGCTGTTCTCATGTAGAACGCTCTAACCGCTGGCCGAATTTGTTTCCTTCTGACCAGATGACTAAGCCATGTTTTGTTGATGTCCTGGGAAATCATTTAAACAAATACACACACACACACACACAAATCACCACACATTGCTGCACATGTGAACGGCTTTCAAAACAATCCCCTCGAGTATGTATGTTACAGTATATTCTACTTTTGAGGGATAGAGACTTTATTGGTCAAAACAGATTAAAGAAATTCGCCGCTTCAAAAAAACAGTAACATCTGCGCAACATAAGAAATCTAAAGCCTCAGGCAAACATCCGTGTTGATCTATAATAGTTTTTGAAATATTTGTTAAAATGTGACGGCGGGAGTTTCCAAACACACTGTAGTAGTCGTTATAGTAAGTGCAGCAGCAGTAGTAGTAGTAGTAACTAGCAGCAACAACTACTACAAGTAAGTCGTAGTTGCAGTAAATAATGTAATAGCTTTAGCGCAGCCGCAGCGGTAAAATAATCAGAGTATTCAGTGACATCGCTGTTCTCATTATCAGGTTTCACAACCAATCAGGAGTCGTGTCTCACATGTCCTGGGGGAGAGTCCAAGTGTCGGGCCTGCAAGGGGTGTGGCAACCAGGTCAGTCGCATCCTCCTGTCTGTCTGTCTGTCTGTCTGTCTGTCTGTCTGTCTGTCTGTCTGTCTGTCTGTCTGTCTGTCTGTCTGTCTGTCTGTCTGTCTGTCTGTCTGTCTGTCTATAAAACTCCCCCTCTCTTCTTCTTTCTCTGTAACTCTTTTCCTGCCTGAATAAGCGTCTATTCACCACACTGACGGACGGACGGACAGACATATAGACAGACGGTGAGACAGACAGACAGACAGACGGTGAGACAGACAGACGGTGAGACAGACAGACGGTGAGACAGACAGACAAACAGACAGACAGACAGACAGACAGACAGACAGACAGACAGACAGACAGACAGACAGACAGACAGACAGACAGACAGACAGACAGACAGACAGACAGACAGACAGACAGACAGACAGACAGACAGACAGACAGACAGACAGACAGACAGACAGACAGACAGACAGACAGACAGACAGACAGACAGACAGAGAGAGATATAGATAGATAGATAGATAGATAGATAGATAGATAGATAGATAGATAGATAGATAGATAGATAGATAGATAGATAGATAGATAGATAGATAGATAGATAGATAGATAGATAGATAGATAGATAGATAGATAGATAGATAGATAGATAGATAGATAGATAGATAGATAGATAGATAGATAGATAGATAGATAGATAGATAGATAGATAGATAGATAGATAGATAGATAGATAGATAGATAGATAGATAGATAGATAGATAGATAGATAGATAGATAGATAGATAGATAGATAGATAGATAGATAGATAGATAGATAGATAGATAAATAGATAGATAGACCAGACAGACAGATTTAGAGACAGACACACGACAGGCTGACTAAACGATAGATTGATTGATAAACCGCTGTGAAATCCCCAGGTGTGGTACGTTGGGTGCACGGATATAGCCATCTACGACAAATTTCAAACACCACCGAGCGACGCGACCTCTACCCCACCGACAGCTGTGGCCCCACAACCGCTAACTGCCGGCACCCAGACAACAGCAGCAACATCGTCTCCAGGTCGGTGCAGTTGCACTCACCCTGACCCCCATGACAATCTAATAAACAGTCCCACATCTTACACGGGTCATTTGTCTAGTAGTACACGGTTACCTAACACCGCCACTGTTTCTAATAGTAGTAACAATGGCTTTACGAACTTTGTGAATAACAAAACGATAATTAACAACAACAACACACATTATACAACAAATGGAGATGTTGTATATAGCCCTAGTAATTATAATTTTATGAATGAATCAAGGAAAAATGCGTCAGTTCAGATGACGGGAGGAGATGACAGTCGACTGACAACCCAAGCGGAACCTGACGATGAAGTGGTTACTACTTCCTTAGAAAGTGGAGGTCAGTTTACAACACCAGCCTTTGATATCACAACTACTGAAAGGGTAAAGACGGTAGGTAACAGAACAGCACTACTTAAACAGACTAGTGGACTTTTGAAGAGTAGAAAACGTTCTGGATTTGTTGGTAGGTTGGTCACACCTAAAACATCATTGTCGACTCAAAGATTTGAATCAGACACCACCCCAAACACTGCAATATTTCACAATAGATTATCACTACATCCGAAAGCCACAGAAAGTAGTACACAACACACGATGGTCTTGGAAAATGATACAACAGCCTCACCAGACAATACCGCACATGTAAACAATCATTACCAGACAACGAAATCTTCCCACACTAAATCAAACACACAAACAACAACACAAGTGCCAACGATTACCCTCAGCTCTAAACACACAAACAGGTCGACCGGCCATAAACTTACCACACGCGGATTCACCAGACGAAAGGAGATTTTCTGTTACGTCACAAACAAAAATAAGAATCCAAGGATGAACTTTGATCTCTGGTGCAGACGGAACTGTCCTGGCAAAGGTATTTTCACCTGCTTGTACCACACGTGCAAACTCACTCTGTGTTCACGTGACACTCGTATGGGGGAACCCCCTGGTTTAGGAAACCTAACCACCGGATTTCCTGGAGATATTTATAGAAAGCAACCTTCTAAAAAGAACTACGATGTCTCGTTTTCGAGAGGTAGTGACAATGTTCGCGGTTTAAATAGTTTTATTATTAATACGCCCTACAGATATAGGACCTCTGAAGGTAATTTTCCGGGAAACGGTGGCGTCTACGATCACCATCAGCAGCTGTCACAACAACAGCAGCAACAGCAACAAAACAAACAACTTCCCAATCAGTCACCAAGCACAAGCCGTAATTTCTGGTCGCTTCAGTCCCCACAGGAACACAGAAATCCATTTGTTATCAGCTCAAGAAATAACAACAATGCAGATTGGATGTCTTTATTACCGTTTTTATTCAGAGAAGGATTTGAGATCTAACATTCGGGGTTGATCACACAGTGATACAAAACCAACATAACACCGTGCTAAACGTATTTTGTGACGTGGGCTACAAATTTCGGCCTTCACCGAACAACGGTGAAATAAAAGTGTGACTGATGAAACAAAACACGAAAACATGTTGAAAAAATGGTGTTCCAAGTTGAGGAATTAGATGATCAAAGTTTCCCCGTGTGGGTTTCGGTGTTCCGTTATAGGGAAAACAAGAATAGACCCAATGCCTACCCAAAAGCATGTCGTAAGAGTCGACTAATTAGAGCTTCCTTCAAAGTCGAAGTTCATCTGCGTGAGAGGCAAGGAACCAACAATCTGCATACAAATTAGTGAGATCTGTCAAACGGATGCACAAGCAACACTCAGGCCCTGGAACAGGACTGCAGTCCAAAAGTGGACAAACAACCAAAACTTTCCGCCAGAGTTTACAGCCGGTGAAAGCGAAGAAGAAGAAACTTCAAAGCAATTATTCTTGAATGGTCACGATTATTTTACAGTAGTGAATGCGATTTAAAAAAAAAAAAGAGATGGCAGGAGGGATACAGGTTATTTGCAAAGTTTGAAATGCAAATATATAGATAAACCGACATATATCTTGACAGACCGATAGGTATAAAGACTGACACATGTAAAGACAGATTCCCGGACAGACAATCATTCAGAGATTTAAAGTATAAAGAACAGGAGATGCATTCAATGATGTGTATATATACAAACTGTGTTTCAAAGCGTTGCCAATAAAACTATCTATCTATAAAAGTAAGTATCTGCAATTAATCACACAATTATGCAATCACACAATCACGCAATCACACAATCACCCCTTGCTGGTCACATGAGACAGGATGGTCATATTGTAGAATGAATGAAATGTGCCTGGAATTGGGGGGGGGGGGGGGGGGGGGGGGGGGGGGAGGGGGAAACACACATAAACGGGGGCCGGGGGGTGGGGGGGGGGGGGGGGGGGGGTATCAGTAGTACACCTTTGGTCACCTTTGAGAAGTTGGCATCATATTTGTTAGGCAATAAATATTAGTCTTTCTCTATGCTATCTGTTTGTTTTCTTTCTTTCTTTTCTTTCTTTCTTTTCTTTCTTTCTTTCTTTCTTTCTTTCTTTCTTTCTTTCTTTCTTTCTTTCTTTCTTCTCTTTTTCTTTTCTTTCTTTTTCTTTCTTCTCTTTTCTTTCTTTCTTTCTTTCTTTCTTTCTTTCTTTTTTCTTTTCTTTCTTTCTTTCTTTCTTTTCTTTCTTTCTTTCTTTCTTTCTTTTTCTTTCTTTCTTTCTTTCTTTCTTTCTTTCTTTCTTTCTTTCTTTTCTTTTCTTTCTCTCTATCTTTTCTTATTTAAGCACCATACGCCCAGTTTAGCACAAGACGTGGAAACAGATTGTTGAACTAAAAGACAAATACTTTTAATGTGCTGAATGCAACTGGGCATAATACAGGACATAACAGAGGACATAATAGATGACACAATAGAGGATATAATAGAGGACATAATAGAGGACATAATAGAGGACATAATAGAGGACATAATAGAGGATATAACAGAGAACATAATAGAGGATTTTTTAGAGGACATAACGGATGATATAAAAGAGGACATAACAGAGGATATAAAAGAGAAGATAACAAAAGATATAACAGAAGACATAACAGAGGATAAAATAGAAGACATAACATAGGATAAAACAGAAGACATAACAAATGATATAAAAAAGGACATAACAGAGGATATAACAGAAGACATAACAGACAACATAACACAGGGCAGTGCAGAGTCATGATTAAACGAGTTCATCCAGTTTTTGCATTGATGGATGCATTGATGATGATAATGGTGGTGATAATGATAGTGATGTTGCTGATGGTGATGATGATCGTAGTGATGAGGATAACGATGATCGTAGTGATGATTATAATAATGGTATTGGTGATTATTATAATTATGATGATGATGATGATAATTATGATAATGATGGTGATGGCGATGTGACAATTATGGTGGTGGTGATGATGATTATATAATGATGGTGATGGTGATGATGAAATGATGTCGGTAGTAGTGATGATGGTGATATTGCTGATGATGATAATGATGCTGGTGGTGGTGATGATGCTAATTATAAAAATTATAGTCGTGGTAATGATAATTATGATAATGACGGTGGTGGTGATGATGCTGATGACGATGATGAAAGTAATGATGATGATAATGATGATGATGATGATGATAGTAGTGATGATGATAATAATAATGATGATCGTAGTGATGATGATAATGATGATAGTGGTGGTGATGATGATAATGATGATGGTAGTAGTGGTGATAATAATGATGATAATGGTGGTGATGATGATAGTGGTGGTAATGATAATAATGATGATAATGGTGATGATGATGATGGTGATGATGGTAATGATGATAATGATAATGTTGATAATGATGGTAATGATGATAATGATAATGTTGATAATGATGGTAATGATAATGATGCTGGTAGTAGTGATGATAATAATGATGATAATGGTGATGGTAATGATGATAATGATAATGATGACAATGACTATCGTAGAGAT